CATCACACCTACACTATTAAGTTTGCTTGACAGTATTATTCAAGTTTTGGAGCTATTACAACGATTAGTGAATATTTTAGTAAGGCAATTTCCCTGGATCCTTATAAATAATCCATTAGGTTTCATCGATCTAACCCTTTATAAACAACGTTGACGGTTTCAAAATATTTTTTATATGTTATGTAGCATTTTCAAATTTATGTTCGACGTTTTGAATGATAAACAGAATGGTTGATTTAATGAAAATATGTACACATTGAAAACTGGAAATATTGGCTCTCTTTGTCATTTTTGAGGGTTTTATTGAGCTAAACTTTTAAGGTAAAGTAGATTAGCAAGAAAACATCATGGTTAAAGTCTTCTTCTTTTTTTTTAATTTACTAACTACTACTTCATTTAATAGAATTTAATAGAATTTAATAGAATTTAATAGAATTTAATAGAATTTAATAGAATTTAATAGAATTTAATAGAATTTAATAGAATTTAATAGAATTTAATAGAATTTAATAGAATTTAATAGAATTTAATAGAATTTAATAGAATTTAATAGAATTTAATAGAATTTAATAGAATTTAATAGAATTTAATAGAATTTAATAGAATTTAATAGAATTTAATAGAATTTAATAGAATTTAATAGAATTTAATAGAATTTAATAGAATTTAATAGAATTTAATAGAATTTAATAGAATTTAATAGAATTTAATAGAATTTAATAGAATTTAATAGAATTTAATAGAATTTAATAGAATTTAATAGAATTTAATAGAATTTAATAGAATTTAATAGAATTTAATAGAATTTAATAGAATTTAATAGAATTTAATAGAATTTAATAGAATTTAATAGAATTTAATAGAATTTAATAGAATTTAATAGAATTTAATAGAATTTAATAGAATTTAATAGAATTTAATAGAATTTAATAGAATTTAATAGAATTTAATAGAATTTAATAGAATTTAATAGAATTTAATAGAATTTAATAGAATTTAATAGAATTTAATAGAATTTAATAGAATTTAATAGAATTTAATAGAATTTAATAGAATTTATTAGAATTTAACAGAATTTAATAGAATTTAATAGAATTTAATAGAATTTAATAGAATTTAATAGAATTTAATAGAATTTAATAGAATTTAATAGAATTTAATAGAATTTAATAGAATTTAATAGAATTTAATAGAATTTAATAGAATTTAATAGAATTTAATAGAATTTAATAGAATTTAATAGAATTTAATAGAATTTAATAGAATTTAATAGAATTTAATAGAATTTAATAGAATTTAATAGAATTTAATAGAATTTAATAGAATTTAATAGAATTTAATAGAATTTAATAGAATTTAATAGAATTTAATAGAATTTAATAGAATTTAATAGAATTTAATAGAATTTAATAGAATTTAATAGAATTTAATAGAATTTAATAGAATTTAATAGAATTTAATAGAATTTAATAGAATTTAATAGAATTTAATAGAATTTAATAGAATTTAATAGAATTTAATAGAATTTAATAGAATTTAATAGAATTTAATAGAATTTAATAGAATTTAATAGAATTTAATGGAATTTAATAGAATTTAATAGAATTTAATAGAATTTAATAGAATTTAATAGAATTTAATAGAATTTAATAGAATTTAATAGAATTTAATAGAATTTAATAGAATTTAATAAAATTTAATAGAATTTAATAGAATTTAATAGAATTTAATAGAATTTAATAGAATTTAATAGAATTTAATAGAATTTAATAGAATTTAATAGAATTTAATAGAATTTAATAGAATTTAATAGAATTTAATAGAATTTAATAGAATTTAATAGAATTTAATAGAATTTAATAGAATTTAATAGAATTTAATAGAATTTAATATAATTTAATAGAATTTAATAGAATTTAATAGAATTTAATAGAATTTAATAGAATTTAATAGAATTTAATAGAATTTAATAGAATTTAATAGAATTTAATAGAATTTAATAGAATTTAATAGAATTTAATAGAATTTAATAGAATTTAATAGAATTTAATAGAATTTAATAGAATTTAATAGAATTTAATAGAATTTAATAGAATTTAATAGAATTTAATAGAATTTAATAGAATTTAATAGAATTTAATAGAATTTAATAGAATTTAATAGAATTTAATAGAATTTAATAGAATTTAATAGAATTTAATAGAATTTAATAGAATTTAATAGAATTTAATAGAATTTAATAGAATTTAATAGAATTTAAACTGTATACTGTATACAATTTAAATTGTTAAAGCCATTTGAGTAATATTAAAAAAAAAAATAAAATTATATCCCCCTATAAATGTATTTGCAGACCCATATTGATAGGAAGTATTTGTCTTATTTTTTTGTAAGGAATCAGCCAACGAGCGATGCGATATTTTTTGAAACGCCCTGTGTATCCAAATAATGATATATTAAAAATAAAGACTCAACTTTTGAACCACCCTGTACTGAGCATAAAAAATAAAAAACTATAAAATATACAATAACAACAACATACATCGAAACACAAAGTCATAGGTGAAAAATTATATAATTTCTCTAAATCGAAAATATTCAAAATTTAGTATCTAGTGGTTTAAGAACGCGCATATTTGCCTTGTTGCCAGATTTACCGTTTCACCGATAATATTGGTAACTTTGTTTTTTTTTTAAATGCACTTACCCGGTATATTGTCGCATTTTTTGATTCTGCAGTATAAAGCTCATGAAAAAAAATCGTTTAACTTTATTTTGGAATATGCCACCAAAACAAAAGAAAAAAAATTACAGTTATTATTTGCACTTTTTACTTGGTCAATTCACAAAAAAACGGGAAACGCAATAATGTAAAATAAAACAGAAAAGTATGAACAAAAGAATGCCATTACAAACTTAAACGGAGAGCTTTTTAATTTGCAAACCGTTGACCATTATATAAATGTTTGTATACCCGTGGGTATACGTGTCAGACCTTTTTTTTTGTTTTGAAAATGAGCACACACAGTAGCGTAAAACAGGAAACGTACATGGCCTGCTTATTGTATTTTACCTGCTTACTACCGTATTATTGGAATGCGAGCCATTTGTATCCATCAATTATTTACAGTATCCCACTTCTGATACCAATGTAGCGTTTATTTATCTTAACGCTTTGGAAACTATCGGGACGTATATATCCCAAACAAATGTCTAAACTGTCTGCTGGTTAAAATCGTAGCCATTTTGTAAATAATATTTTAAATTTAATCTTACCAAGACACTGGCTAAAAAAAAAGTGGAAATAGCAACGCCGCAAAAGCTTGTAAAAGCAGTAATTTATTTGTGTAACATGGTTACTGTGATTTTTCTTTAGTTCCTGTTGGTTTATCTACATATTTTTGCAATTGTGCATTTATTTTTTCAAAAAAAAAAAAAACGTAATACTAAAGGTAATAACATATTAATAAATATATTAGTTATATTATACAAGGTGTCCCAGCTAAAACTTGTCACCCCCCTAATCTCCGAACTCGTGAACAAAATTGAAAATCGCTCAGACCTGTCGATTTTAATTTCAAGGGGGAACACTTTTACCAAATACATCATCATTGTGTTGTCAACCCCCTCATCCCCAGCACCCCCAGGAAAATGCTTATTGCTCTTATGTAAAAAGATATGTGATCAGTCATGAAACAATTCTTGGTAGAAAGCAAATACAAATAGATGGGAGCAGTATTAAAATCACACTAAATAATATAAATAAACATGTAAGTAATATTTTTTACTACTCCGAACATTTATATTATAATAATTGTTTTTATTTATTTCAGGTTTACTACCTGTGGCTCATCTACACAGCCACACTGAGAAAATAGCCCCCTTTGTTAAATAATTTATCTGCAACAGTTAGAAAATTAACTGTAATATTTAATTTTTTTTATTTGGTACAGTAAACCGTGTAACAATTTCAGATAAATGGAAATTTCTGAAAAGCAAAAGTACCACTGATCCAGGTACATTGATTTTGTACGTTAGACATACACAAGAATCATAAATGTAACAAAAACGTTTTTTAGAGCCACCATATCTCGACATCCTTTTAACAATATTGAGTCGACTGACTAAGGAAAGCATAGCTAGACCATATCATTGATATAAATATAAATATTATAGAGGATCTGCCTGTCCTTTTATTTAAAGTCCATTATTTTGGCATTACTTGTATCCTAAAGATATCACTTGAGCATAGTTTTCACCATAGTGAATTGTAGATATTCAACTAAAAGTTCTTGGGTGTTTATAAAAACCGGTTTTGATTTTTTTTCAATCGTATAATTAAAAGTATCGCTCATTTTAATATTTTAAATTGCTGCAGCTTGGCTGCAAGAGTATATTTCTCTGGTAATATCTTTTGGAGCTTCTTTAATTTCACATTTCTTCGTTTTTATTTTATATTTTTGCACCATATTTACAGCTGAAAAAATGCAAAATATAATATTAGATTGTTTAGCCTCAAAAGATTTTTATTCCATTAAAAATGGTGCGGATTAAACATAGGACAAATTAACCCCATCCCCAATCATGACAAAAATAAAATAAATGTTTGATCATGGGTATGGGACTGGCGAAAAACATCATAATATTAAGTTAAAATCATATGCACAACTTTAAAAATAATTTTAAACCCCTCACCTCTATTTCAAGATGCACTCGTGATTATAACTTTACTTCAAAGAGGTTTCTTGTATATTATTTAAAATAAATAAACATTTTGTTTTCTACATTTGTTGCCTTCATTTAAAATCTCAAAATTCCAAGATGTAGGCTACCAGTTTAACGTTTTGGATAAATATGTGTTGCCTAACCTAGTAGTGTTTGCAACAAAATGGCCTCGCCCTATCTTGGACGTATCGGACGTCCCTCTTGCACCGTATAGTAATCAAAGTATGTGGAATACTTTGTAAAATTACTTCTCCTATGACAGATGCTCAATGCATACTGGGAAGTTACTTCTTTTCTGACAGATTGTGCAATGATAAACCCACTCTATGTCCTAAGTTCATGTATTACGCTTGACAGTTATTTCTTGTTTATAACGTCAATTCAGCGATGTAAAGTCATTTATGTACAAGTAAAAACAGTTTTTACATAAAGGGGCAATGATTAAAGGGTGCTTTTTTTATTGAAAAATTCACGTTTAGAAGCGATCAGGATTTAATGAATTAGGTAGTATTAAAATTTCGAAATATATTAAGAAAAGATATTAAGGCAAGATGGAAGAAATCGAACAAACTGACAAGATAATACATAATATAGTAAAAGAACTGCAGCTATTAGAAACTATGCCGCATTTCGATGAAAAGTTTTGCCAGTTTTATGTAAGTAGGTTGTTAATATGTATAAAAATATTCTTTTATATAAATAAATAGTATAAATAATTATAATAGATCATTTTCTCTTCAGATACAATTGTTATTATACGATCCAACATGGAATGTAAGTATCGAAAATTTAGTAAGGACTGATGTGGAAAATCTTATTAACTTTATAATGGTAAAGTTTAATAATAAGGATGATCCATCTATGACCACTCTGAAGATACAATATAATTTACAAGATAGATTAAATTATTTGGAAAAATTCGACATCCAGGGAAATAGATTAATAAAATTGAAGATCAAATTGAGGCCCTTAGAACTGTCGATTTTAGAACCAGATGATAAAAGTGATTTAAAAATATTGTTTAAAAGAATTACAGCATACTTTATATTAATGTCTGGTATGGGAGATCCTCGTAATGAACAGGTAGGACTTAATCAAAGTATAAGAGGGTAATTAGAAAGTCTAAATTGAGTTTATTTTACAATTCGTCGAGAAAAATTTTTTGTTTAAATTAATTAACAAATATAGAGTGATCCACAAACATGTTTCTAAAGTAAGCCTTGAAAATATTTATGCATGTCGAAAAGTACAGTTCTTTTTTTGTTTGAAGAATACAATAATTACTAATAAATATAATTCAGATATATCTGTTTTCTTAACATTTTTGTCAACTGAATCAACGGTATTTCACGGAACATTTGAACTATTTTAAAAATTGGGTACTAAAGACTGATTTATAAATCAAATGGTAACATGACAGTAAAGTATTTAGTAATGTTTAATCATGATTCAGTTAGGTACTTAATTAATTTAAACATGTGAAGTCGTAATCATGTGTTTAATTAGAGTTTTAAATACGGTACTGATTTCCTCCTCAATCAAAAAGGCTACCAATCAGAAAAACAGTTTTAGCCGACGTACAGTTTATTTTTTAATTTACAATTGAGGCTATATCGGACTAAACCACAAAAATTAAAAATTGCAGAACCATAATCTCCATCTAGATATTCATCAAATTTAAACTGGACTAACCGACCTTTTTCTTCTTGTTTCTAGATGGCAGCCCCAAACTAGTTTTGGAATTATATATTTAAGGAGAATTCTGAGAAGCAAAGTGGACTAAGCGCAGTTAGTCCACTATCACTGTGTGCTGCTAAAACTTAGATGTTTACAAAAGGTTTTTATGTTCTGTGTAGAGGATATTGTTTGTGGTTGTGGTATATAGTACGAGTAGCTAGTGCGTTTTTATTATTTAGAATAAAATCTAGTGATATTATGGATATCGAAATTGGAGGTAAGTACTATGTTAGTTTGAGTTATAGGTTAAGTGAGAATATTTTTTATTTATTAACATATTTTAAAATGTTTTATTTTTCCTCGAAGTAACAACTATTTTTTGCAATCAGCCTTATCTAGTAGTTTTACTAAATAATTAATACCAAAATTATTATTTAAATAAAAAAAGCATTCCACAATATTTTATTCAAGTTGGTTGATCCACTTTTGTTCTTTATACCAGGATCTAGTTCTTTTTATCTTATCTTTGATTTTGTTACTTTCCAGAAACCTCAGCCGTTTGAGGATTCCGGTTCAGAGTACTTACCATCTGATGAAGATTTGTCAGAAACAAAAGTGGATAATGAGGAAGATGATCCGACAACTTCCTAAAGTTCTAAGCCCAAAAAGCGAGTTCGCAGGCCTGAAAAATGGAAAAGAAATGTAAACAAAAGGAAGAAGTGTGCTGGAGAAGAATACAATACCAAATCGGGTAAAACTGTTCCTTCAAAAAATTTCGAACCATTCTTGTGCAACTGTAAAGGTCAGTGCTCAGCCTTAATTTCCGAAGAACGGCAAATAGAACTGCAGAAAATTTTTTATGCCCTAGAAAGTTTCAACTTGCAAACAGCTTATTTATATGCTTTAATTAAAGTTGTAAATAAGCTACGTAGCTACACTAAGAATCCAGAATCTAAGAGAAAGAAAACTAGGCTTTATTTTTGCCTGATGAGAATGGAGTAGAGCATAAGGTTTGTAAACCATTTTTTCAAGCAACTTTTCAAGTTTCTGTTGGTAGATTGGATAGGTTACTGAAACATAAGTCAGTAGGAACAACACCACCGAGTGACAAACGCGGAAAACAACCACCACAACAAAACAAGTTATGCAAAGAAAAATGAACTTAAGCAGTTCATTGAAAAGTTTCCCTCTTATAAATCACATTATGGCCGAGAAAAAAGTAACCATAGAAAGTATATTTCTCCAAATTTGAGCATTGGTAAAATGTATGAATTATACAAAGAAGAGATACAAGATCCTCTATCCTATTTTATTTTTCAAGAAACCTTTAATAAAGAATTTAACTTGCATTTTCATCCTCCAATTACTGATTCATGTAAGAAGTGTGATCTGTTCGATATTCAAATAAAAGCAGTCGATGAAGACAAAAGAAGGCAACTCGAAATTGAAAAAGAATTACACCAGCGAAAGGATAAGAGTGCTAGATATGGCCTAAGAAATGACACAAAATTTGCAAAAAGAAGTAGTGCAGCTGTAGTTATTTACTTCGATTTGATGAAGACTCTACCATGGAGAAAGGATAATTAAGAGTTGCAGATTCCGCACAGAAAATTGGCAACATGTTTGCCATCAGCGACATATGGGATAGTTTTGTGCAACTAATACTCAGTCGGTAATATAGAAAGCTGTAATGCCCTTTTTTGTTTTGAAAATTGGCGGGCTTTTGAATTTACTTCGACAAAATATAAGAATTTTACATTTTCACTAGCATTTTTTTAACATGCATGTCATGCGTGTTTAAAAAGGCTAATAAAAATGTAAAATTCTTATATTAAATAATTTTAGAAGTGTAAAATAATACAAAATTGTATTAACTAAATATTATTTGTAGAATCTTCATTGGTTACAACAATAAACGTAATATATATTTTCTGAATAACTATTAAAAAGCTTGGTTAAAGGTGGATTTATAAACTACGTTCAGTTCGCGTTCAGTTCACGCTCAGTTCGAGTTCAACATAAACAGAGCAGAATGACACGGTATGTTTTGGATAAGAAATTATAACGGATTCATAATTATTTTATAACCAACACCATCTACAAATATAATTAAAACAAAAATAACAATATATAATTTTATTTTTGTGGAATTTGTGGTTGTCTTGCCAACTCGAACTGAGCGCGAACTGAACGTAGTTTATAAATCCAGCTTAATACATATAATTAAATTCTCGTATCTAGAATAATTATCAAAATGAATATTGTTCTAAAACAGTGTAAATGGGCAAGAACAATTTAGTATTACAATCAAATATATGCATTTATAAGACACAGACATGTTAAAGTATCAAAATAAATTTACTTACAGTAAATTATTCCTAAATGTATGCCTAAAACTGTATTAAATACTCGTAAAAGTAAAATTCACTTATAATTGTTTACATCGACATCCATATTGTTTGTTGTATTTTGAATGTATCATTCGGGTTTCGGGCGTTTCGGCTATCGAGTCGACTCGAGCGTTAACGAGATTTGGGTTTTGTTATCCAAAGCCAGATTTACATTGTACCAATCATTGAATAAATTCATATTTTTTCAATTTTACGATGGATATGTAATATAAATGTGAAACTATTACTTTTGGCATGCTACGAACACATTTTTATTGAAATATTTTGTAATTATTCGGTTTACTTTATATTTTAAATATAATTGTGTTATTGTAAAACGAACGTACGCCAGTTTCGATGCGCAGTAACTTGTTGACAAAATGCGCATATGCTATAAACCCTCTGGACTCTACCTACACCTGTAGTGACTACAGGAATATGTTATTACAAAAGGCACTTGTGGACGTACTGCTTCAACATTCACGACATCCAGATAGCATTCAGACGTATTAATGTGAGAGCTCAAAGACGTTTTTAAGACGTCTTTCCAAATCCATATATTAATCTGAAAGCTCAAAGACGTCTTTAAGATGTCTTACAAACGGAAACTTAAGTAATTCAAATTTAAAAGACGAATCAACTGAAGTGAAGTTTGACTTAACATTACATTCAAGCCCAAGCTTATTGTGAATTATTGATTATTCTATTGCGTACGCGATTATAGCCGCCAAAAGTGTGTTTGGGCTACTTTGTGCATTTGTGTTTGGTCTCTTTTTACTTAAATAATATGGGACTAAAACCAGAGAAGGAAGAATAGTGGAGGAGTTTGTTACCGATGTATCACGTTCCTGGAATACTTTCTACAGGTAATAAATGAATATTTGTTTATATACATAGAACATTAATATCCTGTTTCTTCTAAATAAGAATTGATATCAAAAGCCACATGTTAGATAGCCATTTTAAGTGAAGTTAAAGTAAAATTGTCAAAATAGGCGATTTAGTATAATAGCTCATCTTGTCTTAAATGATTTGTTATAAAAATTGATTTAAAATTGTAAGAAATTAATTTTTTGTTTTGTTTCATTATTGTTCTTTCGGTTTTTACTAACTTTTACAAAGTATAACTTCCTGTGACTATAATGCTCTTACCTAAATTTCTTTTGGAGCGACTATACAAAGGCAACTTTAAATCAAAAAGAAAGAAAAAAATCAATCCAGTTATGGCTAAAGAGGAGTGATCGAATGCGCTACAAAGAAAATAACTCTTAGTGACCTGTGATTAATAGATATTTTATCAATAAATATTTTTAATTCTATTTTTTGCATTCTTTATAATCTGCAAGGTTATTCTACTAATTTTAATAACCAAGATGCACGATGATACCCATTTTTAAATTATTTTATGGCTTATTTAAGTTTAACCAGACCATTATAATAATAAGCCATTAATAAAACATCTTAAAGACGTATAATTTATGGCTTCACAAGACCATTATAAGCTATTAATAAGTCGTCTTAAAGACGTCTTATTTATGGCTTATTTAAAGCTTCACAAGACCATTATACGCCATTTATGAGACGTCTTATTTATGGCTTATTTAAAGCTTCACAAGACCATTAATAAGACGTCTTAAATCTTCACCACAGGCAACCGGAGGAAGTATGGGACCATTTCGCCAGGAAGAGGATTAGCAAATCTTACATATTTCATGTTGTTTTTTCAGTTTAATCTCTTGCATTAAAAAAATTTTGTAATTAAATATCGATTTATAATTTAATAACTTTAATGACTCTTAACACACTCCTGTGGTTCTAAAATGTGATGATTGAAAATTAAATGATTTTTAACAATTTTTTGAACCCATTTACAGAAGTTTAATAATTTTGGGATTAGTCCGATATTGCACTCATAGCCTGAATTACTCTTTGTCACAACCTTCCTCTCATGCATATCCAAAGGCCATTTACTATTCACTCTAACGCAAGCAAAACAGGACCAAAAGTTTGATCTTACAACCCTGTATATTATTAGACATTAAATCAACTGCTTCGTTTTCTTTTCTGCGTCTGGTGTAAATTACTTCTTGTATTGATCAATTTTATAATATATTATGTTTTTTAGGTATTCCAAGCAAGTACCCAAGTTCTAAAAACCGTATTAAATAACGATGAATTAAATAATTTTTATCTGATGCCTTATGCGGTACGTTTAAAAGATTTTAATGAAATAGTGAAAGTTTGTACAGGAATTAGACTATACAATATGGACTGCAACATGGGCTCTGTCGGAGTATCTGACGGTAATTCAATCTTAGGGTTTGCAGGAATATTAAATAATTGTGATTTCATTTCTATTAATATTAAGATTTTCCAATGGTAAATCTGTAAATGTTTAATATTTATTATATAAACTTCACCAAATATATTGGGCTGGTGCATAATAATCAGGCCGTTTTTTTAGAAACAACTGCTGTATTGTTTACTTTTGCTTTGTCAAAATATTATTTAATTTCGTGGTTATAAAAATGCGTGTCGATAATTGAATACCTGCCCCGAACAAGGTTGTAACCAACAATATTTCAGAAACGGTGATAAACATGGAACAATGTTGTAAGCAACATTATATTGCCATCCTTTCTGCAATCGGCCTTAAAATGTTTATTATTAAGGGTCATTTTAGCTTGCGAACATTGCCTCGGCCAGAACAACGTTGTAACAACAAGAGTTTTGCGCTGTGTGTTTGTTTAGTTTCTTGCAAAATGGCGTGTTACTTCTGCGGCAGAAAAGCAGCTGAATAAAAGCCGAAAGCGAAAAATAAACATTGCCGAATGGAAAGACGTTAAAAGAAAAAGCTTGAGGGACAGTGGACAGCCATATATAAGTAAAAGAAACGTTGCCGTGCCTGGGAAAATCGCTGTTGATAATGTGAGTAAAAGAACGTTGTAACCACCGTTTCTGCTGTAACAGTGTTTTTAATGAGCGATTAGAATATTGTTTTTTGTTTCAGGTTCGTGTTTGTCGCTGTAAATATGAATGTCAAAATATTAGTTTGGCGAATAAACAAAAAGCATTTATAGATTTTTATAATATAAACTATGACAATCAGTCAAGAATGCTTGCGCAACAATGCATGGATATTGTTAATATTAAACGAAGGTAAGTGGATGAAGATATTTCCAGAAGACATTGTAGCGTAAAATATTATCTACCCGTTGAAAATCAAGATATACCAAAGGTACAGGTATGTCAAAAAAAATTATGTTACGTTTTAAAAATAACACCAAGGCGTCTGCAGAAGCTGCAAGAAAAATTAAAGTTTAACGAGCCACCGGAAGATAAAAGAGGCAGACATTCAAACAGGCCCAATGCTATACCAAACCCTATTAAGGATTTAATTAAAGCACATATCGAGACTTTCCCTAAACAAGAAAGTCACTATGCAAGAGGTCGAACGGAAAAAATGTGCCTTTGTCCCGATTTAACGTTGAAGCAGATGTTTATTTTGTTTAAGGGCAAACATCCAGACGCTAAATGTAGCGAAAAGCTATACAGAGATATATTCAGGTCTGATTTCAATTTAAGATTCGGTACACCAAGGTCTGATACTTGCCAGTATTGTGACAAATTCTATGCTAAACTCGTTGAGGTACGATCGGAAGAAGAAAAAAATAATATCTCTCACGAAAGTGAAATCCACCACAGGCGGGCAGAAAAGGCATATTCCGCACTGAGTGATGATATTAAATTAGCAAAAGAAAATAAAAATACAATAGTATTGTGTACTGATCTACAGCAGGTTCTTTTCTGTCCGACTTTGAAGCACTCTTCCGTCTTTTATCAAATCAAGCCGTTCACAATATGGGCACAAATGACGTTTTTATGTGTTTTTGGCATGAAAGCGTAGCTAAAAGAGGATCCGCTAAAATAGCATCATGTTTACTTAAATATGTTTCGACACATTTTAAACCTATGGAAAATATTGGAACAGACAGAAAACTTATTGTTTGGTCCGACAGATGTGTCGGGCAAAATAATAACTGGAGAATGATATCTCTTTATCAGTATCTTGTTACTATGAAGTACTTCTCATCTGTTGAACAAAAATTTTTAACAAGTGGCCACAGCTTTTTGCCTTGCGACCGTGACTTTGCATTGATAGAGAGAAAGAAAAAAAACGGCTACTATGTATCATCCTCGGCAGTGGATAGAAGTTATAGCTAATGCACGAATTTCGAAGCCTTTCCTTGTGTGCAGTATGGAAAATAATGACTTCAAGGATCTTTCCCTAATTGAATCGTCACTGAAAAAGGATTCAGCATTTAAAATAACCGAGGTCGTGTGGCTTTAAATTACAAGAGATGACCCTACAACCATACGTGCAAGAGTGAGTCACAATATTTTGCAACCATGGGCAACTTATTCTATGTCAAAAAAAATGAGGGGTGTTCGAAATAGATGCCTTCCTCCAGTGAGAGTAGAGCTCCAGAGACTCCCAAACCTATACAACTCTGTTCTTCCTATCAAAAAAGAAAATTTGTTAGACATGTGTAAATTCATTCCATTAGAATACAGGGAATTTTACAATAATTTGATAAGTGACGTTTAAATGTAATATGTTGTTTTATGCTTGAATGTAATACACTGAAGTTAATATAAAACTTTTAAATGTTGATGTTTACTTACGTTTTATGATACACATACACGCTTGCACCACACACTTGCATACGCCCACGTTCATTACACTTGAACAAAGTTGTAACCAGCCTGTTACAACCTTGTTCTGTGATATTACAGCCTTGTTCTGCTGAACGCGTACATTCATCTTAATCTCACCACTGTTATGAATCAAATTAATTATTTTTGTCCAAATAGCGGATTCATATATGTCAATAGGATTTAATAAATGATGTAGGTCTTTATATTTCGATAGTTACTATTAATACACAAAAGAAAACGTTTCCTGTAAAATTTGCTTTTTGATGGTTATAACCTTGTTCGGGGCAGGTATTCAATCATACTCATATTCGTCATATTATACTTTACCACTTCGAAAAAGGATGGAAAGAAGCGCAGTCATTTCGTAATCTCAACGAACTTTTTGGTGAAGGAACAATAAATGAAAGTGTATGCAGGGAATGATTTGCTCGTTTTAAGCGACACTAGCTTGGAAGATAAGCCAGGAAGAGGTCGACCCTCAGATTTCGATAACCAGGCACTGTTGGAAGCCGTAGAAATGGACGAAAGTTTGACAACTCGAATGCTGGCAGAAGACTTCAATGTGGACCACTCAGCCATCGTTCGTCATTACTGCAACGCAACGTAACGAACAAGCTCCGTTTTTAAAGAATCTTGTCACTGGAGATGAGTCGTGGCTTCTCTTTAAAAATGTTAAAAGAAAGAAGGACTGCGTTTCGCCAGGTGTTGCACCAAAACGAGTACCGAAAAACGTACACTGTAAAAAGGCAATGTGGTGTGTTTGGTGGGACTAAAGCGGAATTACCCATTGGAAAATCATTTCAAATGGGATTTGTTATTGGTGGAATGATGACGATGAGCGTCACGAATGGCGGTTTCCAGACAAAAACGGCAAGCGGCAATTCAACGTCAACAGTTATGTCTATATGGCACAACTTGACAGCCTTCACGCTGCAATCGAGATGAAAAGACCGCAAAAAAAAACCATATTGTCTTCCTTCACGATAAAGCGCGTCCACATGTTACGCGCCGTGTTGTCGAATGCATCGCCAATAAGAGAACTGCTTCCGCATCCGCCATATTCTCCCACAGAAGCGCCAACGGACTACCATGTCAATCGATCGCTGAAAAATTGGCTGGTACAGAAAGTTTTCGAAGATTTGGATAGCTTGGTGGCCGATATCAAAGCATGGATTGCCTCCAAGAACCGTGACTTTTTTGCCCGTGGAATCGACCGTCTTCCAAGCAAATGGGAATCAGTTATTGAATTTGATGGTGACTATGCTCCGGAATAATGATTTAACGATACTATTAAAGAATTTTTATATTTTTTTTAATATAAATAAAATTTTGCTTTCATATAAATAAAGTTTTTTATAAAACGCCTGATAATTATGCACCGCCCCAATATTAATCACATATGTGATAATGTAAATACTATGCCGCCTTCTTAGAAGCTGGAGTTGCCAGCTTCGTCAATTTGGTGATAACATCACCAAAAGGTATTTCGTTCTTCTTCCTGTAGTTATCTTTAACGACAAAAAAAAATAATGTAAGTAAGATTTATTATTGTTATTCCATAATATCCATTGGAAAATCATGTATTCGGGAGAAAATACCATCACACGAAAGAACAAGAAAGCTCAAAACTTTACACTTAAGGCTCAACTTTGATTATAATATTAGTACTCTTCATATTTGTTTCAGAACCAGAAATATTAGTTTCAGCATCTCACATGTTACTAAAAGAATTTGATAAAATGAAACATTCTTTAAACAGTAGGATACTAATTTTAACGCAAGCCATAAGCCACTGTTACAAACTGAAACAAAAAGATGGTGAAGTACACGTTGAAACAAGAATTCCTCAGATGTCATCAAATGAACAGTTGCAGTATGCTATAAGAATATTAGTGACATATAAGCAATATTATGAATCATTAGAGTAAGGCTGCCATCATGCTATCATTTTGTCGCATAAAAAATAGCATTTTTAGATTAATTATGTATTATTAGCGAGAAAACAGGCGCATATTATTGATAAGCGCGGAGGGAGGAGCGGGTTTCATTTGGTCTTAGATTAAAGAGACCGAAGATGTAACATTGCACACTGCGCATGTTGTCTATTTTAAGCCAAAGTAACCCACCAATTGAAATTCATTGTTGCACGACGCCACCCGAATTGCTCCGATTTCCATTCAGCGATCACCTCCACCTGAGTTTAATCATCATTGACAGCTGTTTTTTGATTTATTTGTTGGTATTTTAGCAATTTAAAGTGTTCTAGTTATTCAATTTCAAGTTCAAAATGTCACGATGTATCTTGAAAAATTGTATGTACTTATAATACAAGTACTACTGTTATGAATATATTCGTTTTCAGCGGTAAATATTTATTAACGTTTTGACATAAAGCGCCATGATTCTCTGGGCTGAATACTTCAGATCCGCATTAAGGGGTTTCAATAAATATTAAGCATCAGAGATCAGATTTCATATTACATAAATTTACAAAAGGGTAAAATTTTGAACATTTAATTTAAATAAATAGTAAATAGGCATTATTGCTAACGAAATTTTGTATTTAAAAAGTAGTTTTATGAGAATGTTTTCTAAAGGTAGTTTTTAGCCCTTTTTGGTAGATATATAAGAGGTAAAGAATCATAGTTGCTAGCTAAATTTTATTTTTATAAGGTATTTTTATAAGAATATTAGATGAAATACAGGATGACCTACTTAAAATTTCAAGGTTCATCTTATTTGCGGTCAAATCGAAAGTGACATTGAATTTTCAGTCTTAAAACAAAGTAATCTAGTATAAGCAAAAAAAAAATACTAAATTTACAGGAGTTAGGTCCGATTCCACCGTTGTGTTAAACGGAGATTAAAATGACAGTGTTAATGTAAAAATGTCATTTTAAACTTCGTTTAACACAACGGTGGAATCGACCCTTAGTCACGTTAATAAAATGTTACATTACAAACCCCTAAACAACTCGAACATAATTTTCGTTTACTAAAAAAAATCCAAAATTTAGCAATATTTATTTATTATACAATCGAATGCGATATCTCTAAATTTTGGAGATAAAAGCAAGCGACCGATAGGAGTTACAAAAATAATCGATTTATCGATAATTCTGATATTTTTTAATGAAAATCGATTTATCCGCTGTTTTTAATAAATTATTTTCGTTTTTTTTTAAGATAATGTATTAATCGATTTTTTAATTATTTGATTATTTTCGATTTTTCAAAGATATTATATGAAAATAATCGATTGAATATAATCGGTTATTTTACATAATCGATATTTTTGTTATTTTTTTAAAATTATCGATTTATTGGATAATCAGCTTTTTAATAATCAATTATTTTCGATAATCGAATAATCAATTTCAAAGGAAATATGAAAAAAGGATTATTAGAAAATAATAGATATTCGTTTTATTTTTTGGAAAATCGATTTATCATAAAATCGGCTTCTTAATTAATTGGTTATTTTCGATTAGGCGATTATTTTGGAATTATTGATTATTTTTGGTATTTCAAAGATAATCGAATTATCGATTTTAAAGGAAATACAATAAAAATAGATTATTGATAATAATCGATTGATCGAAAATAATCGATTATTTAAAATAATCGATCATTCTGTTTTTTTGAAAATCGATTTGACAGTTAATCGACTTTTTAATTAATCGATTATTTTTGAAATACAATAAAATAGATTATTGGTAATAATCGATTTATTATAGAATCGGCTTCTTAATTAATTGATTATTTTCGATTAGGCGATTATTTTGGAATTATCGATTATTTTCGGTATTTCAAAGATAATCGAATTAACGATTTTAAAGGAAATACAATAAAAATAGATTATTGATAATAATCGATTGATCGAAAATAATCAATTATTTAAAATAATCGATCATTCTGTTTTTTTTTAAATCGATTTATCAGTTAATCGACTTTTTAATTAATCGATTATTTTTGATTAATCGATTATTTTCGATTTTTCAAAGATTATCGAATAATCTGTTTCCATGGACGAAAAAAAATGGTTTATTTGAAAATAATCGATTATTTAAAATAAACGATAATTCTATTTATATTATATTTTGTAAAAACTGATTTATCGGTTAATTGGCTTTTTAATTAATCGATTATTTTTGATTTTTCAAAGATAATCAAGTAGTCGATTTTAAAGGAAATGACAAAAATATATTGTTTGAAAATAATCGATTGATCGAAAATAATCGATTATTTTCAATGATCGATAATTTATTTCGATAATCACTCATCCCTAGCGACCAAATGACTTTTAATAGATTTAAATTTTAAAATGTTATCTGGTTTCAGACATATGCATTTCTAGAGTTTTATGTGACTCATCCTTCATAATAATTAATATTCTTAAAGAAAGAAGCCTTAATATACTTTTTTTTGAGGTTACAATACAAAACAGCATTTTCTCATTTTGACTAATTTTTAATAATATGTAATAGCCGTAGAAAAAATATAATGTTCAACTCATAAGGGTAGATTTGCAGTATTAGCCTGCGCACATGCTATTTTTATAATACTCGTAGACAATGAGTAACATTTTTTGCTCTATTAACAATATATTCTATTTCAACATTTTACTGTAATCTCTTGCAGAAAAGTCCGTAGTAAATAAACGCTAACGAAATATTCTATAAAAGGTCTTCTCTTTACATAAAATGTCGTGGCATCTGTTTGATATTAAAAAATCACGTTAATTTTATTTCATAATACAAAATTCGATTAAACACCTTTTAAATAAACCTAATAGTTCATTAAGATGCTAATAAACAAAGTCCGGTCCCTGTCACAGAGTTCGGGTCGCCGCCCAGTTCCCCCACTCCGTTAACCCTTCTTTAGAAATTGACAACATTTGCGCATGTTTAAAACCGGTGTATGTTATATCTCTGGTCTCTTTTATCTAAGCATTTGGTTAATTCACTATTATTAACAAACTGAAACTTTTTTTGATTCCCCCCTGACTTTTTTCCTGCGAACGACCATGTACCCTTCACTTATTTTAAGAAGAAGACTAAATTTATACACTAATAAAAATATTTTTGTATTTTTAACAATTACTACATTACTATATTATTCGAACTCAAACGCCACTATTAAATTTAAATTAGGCAAAAATATGGTCAAAAAGGTATATCTGAATTTACTTAACATAAGTGCAAGTCTAAATGATATACGAGGGGGGATCCTTATGCTGCACCCCTGACCCCCTTACAGTAAAACTAAGGTGGCATTGTATTTTTTTTATTTTTCGATAGTCTCCCTCTACACTAATGCACTTGGTCCATCGGTGCTCTAACATTTCAACAGACTCAAATGTTTGTCCGACCTCTGCAAACTACCTCTCAACCTGTCAGTTCATTACTGGAATTTTTTTTTCACGTAAGTTTTCTTTTAATTTGGGTAACAGCCTGTAATCACTGGGAGGCGAGATCTGGCGAATATGGTGGATGCTCCACTAATTCAATGCCTGCTTGGTGTATAGCAGCCATGGAAAAACAAGATGTATGGCCGAGAGCATTATCCTGATATAAAGGCACACCGTTGCTTAACTTTCCTCGGCGTTTTCCTTTAAGGGCGTCTGTAATCCTTTATCTCTTTTGCAAATAGTCAGTCAGGATGATTCCTTGAACATCCCAGAACACAGACAGCAAAACCTTTCCAGCAGACTTTGAATTTGCGATGTTTCCACTCTTTACTTTGCGCTTTGGTCTCGGAATCATAGTGGTGCACCCATGACTCGCCCATGGTAACATACCGACTAAGAAAGTTCTCTTTGTTTGCTTGGTACCTTTCCAAAAGTCGCTCACAAGTCAACACCTGATTTTTTTTTTGATCAATGGTTAACATTCGGGGCACCTATCTTGCTCTCATCTTTTTCTTATCTATTTCTTTATTCAGTATGTGGTGCACCACATGATATGATAAGCCAGTATATTCCACAACGTCCATGATGCGTACTCGTCGTCTTTCAGTACAATATCGTGTACCTTTTCAATGTTGTTGTCTTCTGTTACCGTTATGGGAGGACCACCAGCATGCTGGTTTTCACAGGATATTCTTCCGCATTTAAAATCTAGACATCAGCGTTTGACTATGTCATAAGATACTGCAGACTATCAAATATTTGCCACAATCTCTTCATGAATTTGAGTTGGCGTCATACCTTTTTTCTGAAGGTATTTTATTAGGGCTTTTTGTTCTACAGGATCCATTTTTATGAACAACACGGCACACATGAATTAGCCACAGCACAACGCTTTGAGATACAAAGTTGATATTTTGTAGATATGATCTGCAAAAGTCAGTTAACTAACTGTCAAAAACGTTAATCAAGCATAGGGATCCACCCTCGTTAGTACAAGTCTAACTTAATATAACTATGTTGCTCATTCGGAACCTAACGTAGAATTTTGTTGTTAGTTGCGTTCCAGGAAGAGAGTAAAATTTATTTAAGCATTTAAATATACTTGATTACAGGTCGCGGTCATGTGAGAGATGACAAATATATTATAAGGTCTGCATCAAATACAAATAGTGAGATTAAAAGTACTTTAGATTAGTTGGTGTCAATCGGGTTTTATGTGGCTCAGAAAATGACAGCCAATCAACTGTTAAAGTTACCAGTTATTTCACTCGCAACATTCATAATTACATTAAATTTTCAGTATAAACCATCATAACAAAATGTATTTTATCTATCTATAGGATCATTGGTGAAGAAATCCACAAACTCGTAAAAGCTTCGCTTGAATTATATGGAAGATACAAAACACAATTAACGAAAATTCGAAAGATTGTACATCCGGAGATTGTTATTTCTGCTAATAGGATTTTCGTAAGTTTCGCTGGATTTTGTACAAAATCAGGAACAGATTAGTAAACTATACAGTGGCCTTATGTTCAGCAATAGTTTGTTTTATAAGCTTAAACATTTTCAGTCTAAGGTGGAAGAGCCAATAGCTGCGATTTTGCTGTCAATGAGTTAGAGGCTGCTAAGTTATAGTAGTTTACGTTATAAGCCCGTTACCTAGATCTTTACATGCGAGCACGTTATATGACCATGCGAGCACGTAGAGATCATGTAACGGGCGTGTATTGTACAATGTTTTATGATGTACTGCAATTTATCTCGTTTTACAACCTAAAATCAAATAAAATTTTATTATTTAACACCATCATTACAATTTTCCGAATGTGACATAAAATAATGACAGTTCAGTTACAACTGACAGTTCAGTCAACTGTTGTTAAAATTTTTACCTGGCTAGCCCGTTATGACTTTCTTAACAACCATAAACAGAGGTATAACGGTATAACATTGCAGTAATGACAGCTATTAATACACGAGCTTGGGGTAAGTTAGGACACGAGCCGCAGGCGAGTGTCGTAAATCTCAAGCGAGTAGAAAAACATTTTTATAGTACTGTAATTTGTGGCGGTTGTAACTACTATAAATCTCAGATGAGAAATACTCTAGGATCTTTGTTTAATGTTTTTCGAAGAGGCACAAACGCAAGTTCAGATTAGAACATAAAAATTAAAAAAAATACGCCTACTGAGAGTTTTTTATACTGGTGTTTTCTACCGACTTTTTAATTTTTATCATTTTATATAATTAAAAAAACGTCTTATTTACCTAACCTGTTCGGCCTGGAACCATCGCGGGTTGCTTAAATTTTAAACTTTTTCAGTTTCGATGTTTTATCATTCGAACTTCTGTATTTTCAAAATTATTTCACCAAGTCATATAAACCATAAAAAATTCTTCCCCATTTTTTGTAACGTCTTTGCATTGATTAACTAGATTACACCATGGAAATGTTTAATATTTTATGATTGTTTCTGGTTTATAATATATGATTATGTTTAATTTAGCCCTACTTCGAGGAGTTATGTAATTATTATGATCAAGTAAAAGATAAAGTAGTCTTACTGGACTATTTGGCGAATTTGTCGAATACTATAGGAGGAATTTTCGGAACCGTTTACTTTCCCGATGAGTTTATTAACCAATGCAATGATAAAGCTTTTATTGATGTAACGACAGATTACTCTGAACCATTGGAAGTAAGCAATTCGGAATGCTCGTTAATAACGAAGGAAGATGATCATGGACCATTTCAAGTAGGTACATTTACAATTCTACTATAGATTATTTTTAAATATTGGAAAATATTCATTACTTCACAAAATAATGTTATTGCAGTGACTTGTAAGCACTACATACATTTCCGAGCATTCCTTTGTATTCACTTTTATTTTGTCAGATATGTAATTCTTTTAGTAAACTTTATAAATTTCATTTTTTTGAGTTTTATTGGATATAAAGATTAAGCTCACCCATTTTTTTAACTACTTGATAACTAAGATTGCCTGTAGTAGATTATATGAATATAATATTGTCGTTTTTTTTTTTTAGTTTATTTATCAAATTCTACCATACGGAATGACCTCTTAAAAACTTACAATACAATCAGTTGCATAATGTTGATCAATATGAAACTGGTTTCGAAAAATTTATTATGTCACCAGTTGTGAAAAGAAAACCAGGGAAAAAATAATTTTTAATACAAGTGGTCATGCAAAATCGTATTTATGACATTCGTAAGATTAGAGTGTCTGCTGGTCCTTGCCAATTTCTTAATCATGTTAAATCTTGCACGAATATTTTCGACTTTTCCAGGGAGACATTATCTGTAACGAAACGCTCTAGATTTACTCCGATTTATAATGGATTCTCCAGCGCCCCTTGGGAGATGTTATGAATAAGCATAGGTCAATTTTATTAACATTTAATTTTAGTAGCTATCTTAGGATACTGACTGGACGTAATTCGTGATCAGTACTTCTTTCATTCATTATAGATTTTGACCAAGTGGCCCCACGTTGGGCGCCAATTTTTGTAACCAACACAACACCCAATGTGTTAAATTTTGTCAATTGTCTTGCTGGAAGGACACATTTATTATGACTAGGCTCAATGTAATAAAAATTCAGATAATTATCAGGAAAGTAAAACATATATATTCAAAAAATGGTAGTTTATTTTAAACACTTTTAAAAAACAATGATGACTATTAACAGTTTAAAAATAACAAAATACAAAAATTTACTAATGGTTCTTAAGAATAATTAACAAAAGAATGAAACTTACTATAAACTATCTTTCAACGAAAATACTATGACAAAAAAACAGATTATGGACAAAAATGCAAGAGAGGGAAAAGTCGAGACCTTAAAAACTACAAATCCCAGTTATTTACAGACCAATCCACCTCCTTGAAAAGACAACACATAAATAGTGCGCGACAATCGCTGGTGCAAATGTATTATTCTACGAGGCGCATTCGAAAAGTCCCTTTGAAATAATAAATTTAAATATGCAAACATAAAATCCTAACGAGAATCAAAATATTCGTTACCAACGGATGAATTAGATTAAACGTATTGGGTTCGAACACTCCTTGCCTTATTTGATTTAAAATTGTTATATAATTGGAACGCCAATATTAAGTTTGAAATTGACAATATTTCAAACTAACGCGACTATTTCAAAATTGACCTTTCTTTCTTCTGTTATTTCAGTACAAAGGCCATTGCTGCATCTTGTTGGTACTTGCAGACGGATTCTTAATTGAGGGAAATCCTGATTATGGTATTGTTAGATACAAAAACAATGAATACATCTTTTCGTCTGACCTTGCCTTAAACGCTTTCCTTAAGGAACCAAACTAGTGAGATTTGATTTCTAGTAATATTATATTTCGTTCTAATTAACATATCTTTCTTGTAGTTTCACGAAAAGTGTCATACACACTATACGTAAACATCCTGAATTAATACTTTATCTTAATATGAGGAACAATTTGATAGAAGTGAAGAATATAAAGAGGTAAGTTTATTTGTAATAGAAACTTCCAGGTTATGCTTATTTTTTGTGATTGATAGTACAATACAAAACTCATCACCTTCATTCTGATATTTTTTCATAAATTTGTTTTCTATTATCTCTATTTTAATTATTTTTGTATCTATTCTGAATGTATATTTGTTTTGATACAGCTTCGTGTGTAGAAATATTTAAAATTGAACTAGCCTAAGAACAATATATCAGCAACATTGTTTTTTTTTGTTTTAGACTTGTTGAAGAAAAAATAGTAGACTTAACTCGTGCAGATGCTGATTGTCAAGTTGATGTGCATTTTCAGGAATCGTATATTGATCCAGAATATTCACACAGCACTTGGTGGTACAAACAGAGAGCTATTCAAATGGTATATAACAAATTCGCATTATTAAGTAGAATACCTATTAACTTCTTATCGGATCGGTGGCTTAGGTGTCTAAATTTTGTGGTGAGAGACACCCGGCTTCAAATCCTACAGAATACCATGTAAATTCATTTGCAAGGTTCTTTATAGGATTTGATGGATGCCTTATTAGGAAAAATTTAATTTCTGTTGATATGACATCCAGATTAAAAAAATCGCCATGCGTTACCGTTTCGATGATGGTGGGTGGGGGTTTCCGGGTTTTCCTTCATCTAAGTCCACTAAGTCCACTACAATGTTCTACAAGAGTGGAGACAGTAATTCGCCCTACAGAGCTGTTTTAGTCTAATTTCTTTCTAGTAGTTTTCCATTTCAGTTCAAAAATGCAAGTTTTTTTCCAAACAAAACCAAGTAGAAAATTGAATTCAATAAGAATGCCAATGAAATATAACTCTTAATTTTCATAATACTCTAGCTCGACTTTGATTTCCAAGGTGTCTCATTTAGAATGATAGTAATTGTGACAAAATTACACAAATTGTCTACTAATTTAAAACCACGATACTTATATATTAAAATAAACCATTTTATAAAACGCGTTTTTACAGCCTACGATAGTATCTTGCCAGTTATTATCAGTAAAATAACTGTACAATTAATTATTGTGATTTTCAGGCAACCCTTATGGGCTACAGAACAAAATCTATAAATACCGAAAAGAAAGCCTATATTACAAAAAATTCGACGCAGACATGGAAACTAAAACATCAGAGTACTCAGACAAAAGTAGACAGCTACGTAAGCACAGAAAAATCAGTCAGCTTTTTGTACGGTCTACGAGGTAGAAACGACGACAAGCAATTACAGTTAATACAAAAAATTTAAGTAATTTGTAAAATTAAAAGTACTTAGAACCTAAATTAATTTAAGTTGTAACAGTTCATCAAAAAATTTTTTAAATTTTTCATGGTTCCAAATCGGAAAAAATCAACAAAAAGAAATTATTTATAAATCTAACATATTTTGATATCTTTGATTATATGAAGGTTTTAGATATGAATAATTCTATAATAAAATTATATTTCAAAATAAAACAAGTCGTTTCATCTTTTGTGTGAACTATTGAGAACTAAAAATATTAATGTACGAGAAGTTCTAGTTAACCGGTGATAGAACTGTGAGTGTGAAGAAAAGCTAGATTTTGAAAAATTAGAGTATTCTTCAATTATTATATATTTATTTTTGAAAGGATTGTCGGATAAAGACAGATAGAAACATTAGGTAATCAGTGTCCTTCATATGCCACCATTAAAAACTTGTTACAGAAGAACAATGTTAACAAAATATTAAAGAACTAATTATCCAAAAACTATCAAAAAGCATCAAATTAATTTATCAGAAATTTATCAAAGATCATTATCAATAACATCAAAGAACATTGTCAAGAACATTGTCAAGAACATTGTCAAAAACATTATCAAAAAACATTGTCAAAAAAAAATTGTCAAAAAAACATTGTCAAAAAACATTATGAAAAAAACATTGTCAATGGACATTGTCAAAGAATATTATCAAAGATCATCAAAGAGCATTATCAAAAAAGCATCAAACAAAATTAAAGAATGTTGTCAACAAATAATATGACAAATGATGACAAAAATATGATTTTTAAGGGGATTATTTTAAAATGATAAAAAATTATGTAATTAAGTTATCCGTTTAAAACTTTGAATGATTTTTTGATTGCAGCTATAGATTTTAATTTTAATTGATTTGGTATAGCATATATTTTTGAAATTTTGTTTGTATTCTTTTTGTGGCGAAGGGAAGCCAAAACTTAGATTTGCAAACCAAAACAAAGAATGTTTAGAACTTTCAATAAACGATGTGCTAAATGTGCATATAAGTCTTAAATGAGATTATGTTGAATGAATAAAATTGTATTTTTAAATATTTTCTATAACATAAATTAAGTTTATATGGGTCAACTTTGGTTTAGCTAAACGCAGTTACATAGAAATTGTTGCCATGGCAACCGTTGGGCAACCGTTGCCTAGTTGTCAAGTTACGGAGAAACTGTTGCCATAGGAATACTTATCAATCTTATCATGATAACTAGTAAACAAAAACCTAAATCCCGTGGTAAGGAAATGCGTAGTTGGAAGGTTATAAATAATTTAATTTAGCTAAAATCAGGAAGAAACTGTTTCCATAGGGATACTTCTCATGGTAATGGATAAACAAAAATCTAAATCTCGTGATTATTAAATGCGTAGTTGTCAAGTTATAGACGATTTAATTTCACTTTAGTTTAGCTGACATTAGTTACGGCGAAACTGTTGCCATGGTAATACTGATCATGGTAACGAGTTGCCAAGTTAGAGATGATTTAATATCACTTTAGTTTAGCTAAAATTATCAACGGAGAAACTGTTGGCATAGGAACAACTAAACAAAAACCCAAATCCCTTGGTGAAGAAATGCGTAGTTGCTAAGTTACAGATAATTAGATTTTAATTTAGCTGAAATCAGTTACGGAGAAATTGTTGCAATAGGGACATGGTAAAAACTAAACAAAAACTCAAAACACAAAATGCATTGTTGCCAAGTTATATGTTATTTAATCTAACTTTCTCATGCATTCCAATATGTAGCTTTTATTATTAGGACATAGGTACAATCAATCTCAAGTGATTTTAGCACTGAGAAATTAATTAATCAGTCCCAAAACCCAGTGACCTTCTGCATTGCATCCTCGATTATATTTTCTTTTACCGAACTTGGAAATATTAACCTAAAATAAATATAAAAACTCGAATATATAGAAAGGTCGATCGGGGGCCTATTAACAAAAATATTAAAAGTAAAAAAATATTAAGAATACCAAAAAATATTAAGAATACCAAAAAATATTAAGAATACCAAAAAATATTAAGAGTAACCAATAAATATTAGTAACCTAATATTTTAACAAATGTAGCGCAACCGAAGCGTTGATCAGGCGCGTATTTTTGTTTGGTCGTTACCATGACAAGCGTTCCTATGGCAACAGTTTCCCCATAACCGATTTCCGCTAAACTAAAGTTTAATTAAATTCTCAATAACTTGGCAACTACGCATTTCCTCACTACGGGATTTGGGTTTCTGTTCCGTCGTTGCCATGACAAGCGTTCCCATTGCAACAGTTTCTTAATAACTGATTTCAGCTGAAGTAAATTGAAAATAAAATCATCTGCAACTTGGCAACTATGCATTTCCTCAATACGGGATTTGGGTTTTTGTTTAGTCATTACCATTACAAGTGTGCCTATGGTTGCTAAATGAAATTAAACAAAAACCGTAATCATCTGTAACTTGGCAAACACGCATTTCCTCAGCATGGATCTGTGGTTACTGTGTATCATTTGTTACTATTAGATTGATAATTTTTCCTAATCTAAAAACCATCCTTAATCTTTTTGTAGCACCCCCCCCTTTATACTTCATTCGAAATTTAATCTCTTAAACATGACTTGCTATGCAATGATGATTTTTACGAGATTTCTTCTCCTGTTACATATTCTACTTCCTGGAAAATCGTATGAATAATTCTTGTGGTCCCTTTGTGAACCGCACTTATTGGAGCACGCAATGGCTAATAAATTGTAGATCAAAGACCACGGGTAAAGGATACTTCCATGTGCCAACACAGATAAAATGTAAGAATTGCAGAAAACTATCTCTTACGTTATTTGATTTATAAAAAGTTTCAAGAATGACAGGACAATTCTTAGAGCTTAAAATATCAAATGACAAAGTCAAACTTGTTATTCAATAGGTATATTCCAAGAACGATCAGAAACCAGTCTCTGACACCAGGATTCTGCGCAGTATATTATTGGGACCGCCAAATTCCAAATTATATGCTGCAGTGATTTGTTTCTGATCGTTGTTGGAAGAGACCTAATGTGAATCAATAAAAGCGATACATTTTTTGAATACACATTGTAAACAAGATGTAGTTCCTAGCATATTATTAGAGGATGCTACCATAGCAATGTTATCAGTTATCAGCGATGTTATCAGTATCCATAAAATTTTATACAATGTCCATTCTAATGCTGGTTTCTTTTAAGGGAAGGTTTGACAAACTAGTAAAAAATTAATAGTTTAATTTTATAAATAGAGAATTAAAAAGATTGGAATTTGTAAGCTAAACAAAGCCTTTTTTGCTTTTATATGAAACACCTGACCTTCATCAACAGAAATTAAATTACTATTACGCCATTCATAAAATCTTTATTCGTCACTCAAAGTGCAAAAGGTTAAATTTCAAAAATTCCATATTTATCTTTCATTATTTCTATACATCTGACAGTTTTTGTGATTTCCACCTTGATAACAGAATATCTTATGTCGTCAGTTGATCCAATAAAAGTTATAGGCAAATAGGTAAATGCAAATAGTTGGATATTTGACATGTTCTTAGTGTTTTAGAGCCGTTGAGTAAGTACTACAATAATCTCGGCTGGGATTAATATAGAAAAGTCATACATTTGCATTTTATAAACATTTTTAGGCGTTATCATATGCATTAAATTTTGATAGTTTTAATGCCAAATTAAGTGTTTAACGATCTAAGAACATTTAGATTATGTTTAAGTATATTTTAAGTTTATCTAAACTTTCAACTTGTTTTATCCTTAAAATGAGCACCATTGATGATTACAACAAAAATAATAAGTAAAGAACAAACTTACAGAAAACAGTTGAGCAACCGCTTTCCTCCAGAAAACAACTACTTCTCTGGCTATGTAAATGTTTATTTCTTGCTGAGGATTTTTAAAAAGCAAGAAAACTGGAGTGTTGAAAATAAATCTGCTGTTTTTCTGCAGATATAATCCAATCCTAAACGAGTTTTTTTTTGTCTTTATTTACGACTGTAATGTACATTAAAGACATTATTTTCGCCCTCCTGAAAAATGCAGCTTTTGCATTTTGAGTAACGACATGCTCTATTGTGGAATCGAACAGTCTGATGCTACTACCTAAATTCCATACATTTAAAGTTGCTCTTACAGAAAGTAAACTAAAAAAATCTGTTCGTAGGAATTAAGCAATAAAATTTAAACGGATTAAACGATACGTCACGGCAATTTATGAGATCTTCAAAAAATCAGCGGCCAACACCGCATCCTATCAATTTTTTTCCTCGTTTTATACTCGTTATTCACTGTAGCCTATCGACAATTAACAGAAAAATTTGCAAGCCAAAGCCGATAGCAGAGTATAAATAACACTGTGCACGAGAGCTAAAGTCCATACATATTTTTCCATTGTTAATGGTCGACAGATAAAAACAAACGAACACTTTTTGTCTTTCAGTCCAGAAACATGAAGTGGGATTAACAGCGTAATACATCTTTTTTTTACTGTCTGTTTTCGACGGGCCTACGTGTCCGCACAAAAGCGGGAACTCTTTGATTTTAAAAGTTATTGGCTTAGATTTTCTTTCAAAAAAAAAAATTAACGAGGCGCGACGTGCGATTTGCTTGTCCATTGAAAGGACGAAACGTGAATGAAGGAAATATTAGAAAATGGTTTAAAAACAAGCATTTTTTTTTGTTTTCTTATGAGGTGGGCTAAAAATTCTAAGGACGAAAATTAAAAGCGAGGTTTAATTGCTCGCTAGTAAATTAAATATACGAGGTTGTCCCAAAAGTAATGCACAGTTGGTTTTAACTCGAAAAATATTTATTAAAGAAGATATAAGTTAGTACAGGGGACTGTTTCATAAAAATGAAGAATTAAAGAGCGACGAGTGAAGAGCTGAGAAGTAAAAAGTAAATGTCGTTTTTTCAAAATAAATTTTCGTCTACTCCTCACTATTCATGAAGATTTGACGA